ATCTAAATACTGCAGCCGCAGACGACTCTTTTTTTTCGTTCGTCGGCCGCTGCTGTATCGCGCCATTTTTTGACAAACGCATCTCCCCTCCTGTATCATATCCAACCGTTCGCATTCACCGCGACACACAGGACCCATTCCAGCGTGACAAACTGAGGTTACGATAAAAGGAGGCAAGCGAACGCGACGTATGTTGACATACTGATCCTCGCAAATATAAAAAAGTATTTGGAACACGGACCTGTGAACTCTTGCGTAGCTCGTCCGCTAACGCTACTGCACGTGGTCCTGGTTTCAGTTTTGGGCGGTTTTCTTGACAGTCTTAGTTAATAGTGAAATTTGGGCGTGTAAGTTCTTTGCAATGATCAGTTTGGATGTGTTGACCAAGGTCTCTTAAGAATGCCCATCGTTTTCCTGGTTCGGCTTTGCAAAGGTTGAACGACAGATTTTTTAATATGATTCTATATACCATGTGTGTTTTCGAGCGGATCTTTGTTCCTCGTTGGTATTTATGTGATAGACAAATTGTTCATAATGAATTGTGGTTGGTTGCTGCATTGATGGCGTATTGTAATGTTAGTGTAATTATTCCGGGATGAAGCAACGTGCGTTGATTCCACTTCTCTGTCCACTGTTTCTTTGAGAATGGATCTATAATTTGGAAAAAGGTTCCGAATTCCAGTAATAAAGTACATAAAACTGAAGTATTGATATCGAAAATCTCTTTCTTTTTTAGAATTGCTCAGCTGAATGTTGAATTTACTCAACTTCAAATATGCGAGTTATAATCATTGTATCTTTTCTCCCTCCTTCTGCGTGTGTCCCATCTCTGTTTGCGAATATAGTAATTTTCAACAATGTACACAACAATGTTCTTTATTAAGTTTGATCTAGAAGCAGAGATGCAAATTGAAGCAGAGATGTAAATTGAAACAGATGTAAATTGAGTGATGACGTTGACTGTCCAATCCGTTGAGCTTCTGTTGCGGATAGAACAATGCGTAAATGAGTCGTAATATAAAGAAATGTTCTTAGAAATAGAGAAATGTATGTCTGTGTAATATCTATCTCGTGTAGAATTGTTTCATTATCTTTTTTCTGGAACAAATGCCACAAAGTGTGATCGTATTTCGAAATCCGGTGTCCAGATGCAACCAATTCGGTATTGTGCTTGGTATATTTGGCAATTATGTATCGTATGAAGTTTTTTTCTTCATTTATTAACATTGTAATAGGGACTGTACTAACGAACGTCAGATCTCCGTTCTTGTACCAATACCAATTTGGTGTTTTCAAAGTTTTCCTTTCCTGGGTCGTGTTCTAAGTGCAAGAAGGCACACAAAAGGCATGACTTGTGTTGCTTACGATAAAAAATATTTGGGCGCCGGGCGTTGCAGTACCGTGAGGAGCGCCGAGCATAAATAAACCTTGGAGCAAGACTTTCCTTTGTGAAGAAGTTTTGTTCCACGAAAGCCGATGACAGAAACCTAAACAGAAAGAGTTCTTTTATAGGCACATTTTTCCTCTGGCTTTGGACCTTGTTCCCGAGAGCAGGGCCTATTTACCCAAGGTTGGGTCGTAATTTCATTTCTCTCATATTCTGTACGGGCTTTTCCATGTATTTGTTCGCTGTTTTGGCCTTCTTTTCTCATCTCGCGCGAGTTTAAACAGAAGGGGATTTGTGGAGCAGCGTAAAATCGTATGTCAGAATCTCGAAAAGCGCATTCGCGTGTTGGAATATTTCGAGTGCAAAAGTGGCCTTTGCTCCGGCGATGCCAACTCTGCCCTATCGCGCGTGTTCGCCGAAAAGTTACTTTTACCGTTTATCACATTATGCTCTGTTTACGCTTTCGAGAGAAACCGGGGGCACAGACATTCCATTCGAGTGTCACTGCTCGTTTGGAGAAACATGCACATTTTCGGAGTATGCAAAGAGTAAGGGAGCCACGATTGTGTTTAAGGACCTAACAGTACGGAATTGGATAGCAGTAATGGACCTTAGGAACACTTTTTTTCTGAACTCAAATTACAAACTATGAAACCTGTAATTATACATATATTACAAGTGGGGTGTAGATACGAGGCAGACAACATTTTTCTTTATACAGTAACCGACCCGAACAATTCAACACATTTAATTCAGCAATTTAATTAACTTGCTAAAATAGCTAATTTGAATACTTTCAAGGGGTACCTGGGAATATCTGGGGTAATTTGGGCAGAAGAGGAGTTCAGCATTATCCAGCCGACTTGCTGGAGGTTCTCCCTATAAGAATGGGATTTGATTCGTTAGGAGGAAAGAGCCACGTTGATCAGGAGAGTTTCGTAGCGGTTATCTTTGCCGTATGTGGGATAATGCTATTTTAAGTTTAGAAAAGTGCCAGTGATAAACACTAACGAAAGCCAGGAGTTCAAACGTATTCGAAACTCGTGCCGGTTTTGTTATTTTCATTGCGACGCTTTGTTGCCGATTTTGTTACGTGCCTGTTGTATTAGGGATTGGCTTTGTTGTATTAGGGATTTAAGACTTAATAATGTGTTAATCCTTTTACCTTCTGTAAAACTCACAAAGGAAAATTAAGTCATATTTCTTGTGTGGCATTGTTCTTGTCGCTGAATTCAAGCATAACATTTTTTTCCGATGAGTGTATTGCGAGTAGTATTAAGTACTAAATACTGGAAATAGTATTCACATAGCACGTAGTATATTTGAAATGTATTGTTTCACATAGTCATGAAAGCTTCAGAGGACTGACATTTATTTTTACACACTTTTGAATGATGTCGTGTAGGCGGCACGAGACTGCCGACTGTCGCGAACGATGGAATGTCCAGCTAGGACTTGCATAAGAATTTTTATCGTTTCTCCTCTGTGTGATAGCGGGCCTGAAGCGTGCAGGAGCCGGCAACGCCTGTGTTCGGAATATCGCTAGGCGCAACGTATGATGCAGACCAATCGCTATTACTTGTTTGATTATAATGAAATAATATACTGTATAAATACACTTCGAAGTTGTGCAACAAGAAATAATAAACATACTGTTCACAAGTACATATTTCAATGCGATAACAAAGTTTACTATTTCCTGTTCTCTTAGAATGGTTTCCATGATGTAAATGCAGATCTGCCGCAGAAAATACTATGCTTTGTTTTAATCATTACTAATATACTGGAAATTAGTTGAATAAGCTCGAAAAATATTGTTTTACAAAATATGTAATGTATTTGAATGGAACAACATTCCTACAGTTTCATATTTTTCGTTGTAAGTCGACGGTTGTAGTAATAATAAATTCTTTTAATTTAGACGGTGAGTATTTGTGGTATGCTCTGCGGGTGAGCGAATACATATAGATAGAATATATAGATGAGAGTTCTAACGGCCGGCTGCTCTGATCGGTAGTGTTCCGTGGATTATCCCATTAATACCGGGTGAATGCCGAAGCAGAACCGGGCCACGGACCGCGCACGATCTTTCCTACATCTTCTTTGTCCTTTCCTCACTCCGTTCTTACATACTCTTCCACTTACATCTACTATACTACCGCGCATGTCCGGACACCGGTCTGCAGCTTAGAGCTTCTCTCGGTACCCGCGCTTGTGGGATTCACCTGGCCAGGGAAGCAACCCGACGTGTAGGTCTCGGATCTCTCCATCCAGCGTGGGAAGATCACCGCCACTTCCGGCGATAAAACATGCAATGCACTTGCGGTCCTAATGACTTAAGTATTTGATACGCCGGAGACACCAATCAATCAGTGAATTCAGCAAGGACAGCAGATTTTGTAGCCGCGCCGAAAGGAGGTCAAACGCCTTGCAGAGCCATCTTCAGCCTCAACTCGCGTTTTTCATAAAAGTATTTTGCAATAGTAAAAGTAATAGTATTAGTATAAGGTTTTTAAGTGAATAGATCTGGGTGCGATGTGGGTTCCAAATTTACCATGTTTTTTACTTTCTCGATTTCTTTGTAAGAAGAGAGTAATATTGAAATCGAGCGCCGGAATTCGGCGATTTTTCGACAAAAATATCTTATTGCCGGGTCCTGGTAACTAAATAATATATAAATTCCTTCCTCTAACACATTGTGCAGTCAGAATTTATGCATTGTAGATTTTTGTCACCGAAAAATCGATTGACTGTAAAACGTCTGTCATCAGTGTGGTCTAACCGTCCGTCCGTCCGTTCTTTCGTTCGTTTGTTCGTTCGTTCGCTCGTTCGTTCGTTCGTTCGTTCGATCGCCCTCCGTCGTCCTGTCTGCTGCCTTTGCTAACCCCCAAATTTTTCAGACGTTTTTCGCCGAAATCGATGTTACTCCATCGCTCTATGTACCCACTGAAGGTCTTGCGAGTGTGAAACGAATATTTTGATTTTTGGGAGTACTTTACATGAAACTTCAATAGATAAAATTTTTAACATTGTCTCAAAAATGGTTCCAAAATGTTTGATTAAACATTGTCCTCGGGAAGCACATAGAACTGGCAGCTGGATTTTTTTGGCGACTTCCCACAACTACAAATTTTACATGAACAAATTTTCGAGAATATTAGTTTTTTTTCCGTAATTTGGGGTGAAATACAGGCAATTTTTAAACAATTATTTTCTCCAACACTTTCTCCAATTTTTTTTCACTTATTGAGCAAAGGACGCTTAAAATGACGCGCATCTTATTTTCGTTTAATACTCTGAATTTTCGAAAATTGCAAAAGATAGACATAATGCGAGATATACTGTTGTAGCTTCACTGCGTCTAATTCTTCTTCTTCTTCCTCTTCTTCTTTTCCTTTTTCTTTTTCTTCTTCTTCTTCTTCATCTTCTTCTTCAAGAAGGAAGGGCGGCGGCCGGGACAACCGCATCGAGAGCCGTTGCCTGTCTGGATGAGCGTTAGAGAGGGCGGAAGGCAGCGTTTGGGGCCGAGGGGCGGTGTGCGTGCCGCGGGCGGCGGCCGGGCAAACGCGTCCGGCAAACGCGCGCGGCAGAACGCGGCAGTACTCGTATCGCGATGCGCGCCACGCTCGCGACCAGGGCCTCGCCCGAAGCCGCGGACGTCTTCACGGGAGGTTGCACCTGCCAGTTCACCAAAGGAGCCTCGGCACGCCGATCACGAATAGGCGGTCGCTTGCTCTCCGTTATGGCTTTGCAAGCCGAACACGTCGCATCGATTTTTTTCGTGCTGTCAGACTCAGGAGCAGCTCAGCTCGGCGGTTGCCTTCGCGGTGGCGGCTGCGCGGTAGCGTTCGTCTGGGGATGATGATGACCCCGCGTCGACGGGCCGACTCGCTATCGAACTGCAAGGGCGACGGTAGAAGAATGCTCCCAGGGGAGGGAACTGCGAGAACTGTTACTTTTCGGAAACGTCATTGTTGTGTCGGTTGATTGCTAAGAATATGCGAGTTCGTATGGTAAATATCTGATATGATGATGGAGCGGGCCAATGTAGGCATTTCCACAGTATCGCCATTAGACATCAAGATTTTTGATGTATTGACGGACAGAACAAAGATTTCAGTCCTTTCACGGCCCCGAAAATAATGACGACCAAGTTTCATCTGATGACGATGAGAGGTTATCATCTGATGAGATGAGAAGTTATGAGAAATAAGCAGGAATTCTGTGATTTGGAAGAATTACACTTAAGATCCAATTTTGCGTCTGATCATTCATTAAAATCGACTCCTTGGCGGTAATTAAATTTAATTAAATTAATGTACAAATTCTCTCGCATTTATCATGAGAGAGAGACAGAGACAGAGAGAGAGACAGAGAGAGGGAGAGGGAGAGAAAAGGGAGAGGGAAATGATTGACCTCACGTATTTCTAACACTTGAACTAAGAAACTTGTGATAGTTTGCAAGTTATTAATATTTATAATAGAAATATAAAATTGGATATTTTTATTCGTATTTTAATTTATAAAATTAACTGTAATTTAATACATTTTAAAATAATTACATTTAATGACTGCCTACTACGTACATAATCCTTACTGTAGTTGTTCTAAGCCACGTTATTTGTGTTTGTGAAAAATTGGTTTACGAATCCCTAGGTTGTGACAATTAGTTCAAAGAGAATGAAAAATCATCCTTTCATTTACTGAATGCAGATAAGTCTTTGCAGAATCAGTGCAAGATGCTGACGTGTAAATGGAAGCCGATTTATCACACACATTGAAAGATAGCATGAGATAGTTGCGTAAAACATGTGTATACTTTAGCCACTCTCTCATTTGTACGTATACATTCTCAAGAGCATACTTTTTTACCCACTATTTTTACACGAATGTGTACTTCTCAAGAGCTACAGCTCTTCTCCACTCTCGAGGGGGCAATAACATTCGTACAAAAGTACTGAAATCTCATGCAAGACTGCAAAACGCGCGTTTGCTTTATTTATGCGCTCGGTTTTTTGCACTGCGTTGTACTTTCGCGCTGTTTAAAAGAGATTGAAAATCCATTGCACGATTTACGAGTTTTATTTTTCCTTATTATGATATTTGATGTTCTCTGACGAATGGTGGTCCGCTCATCGGTTGAATATATTTTCCCCTTTATTGTGATGTGTATAGTGCATACTCACGGTCTCCGTTAATACTCACTCAATACTCACGATCTCCGTTAATCAGCTGTGTCATACTTTTGACTTCATGAAGACTGCTATCCTGTGTAAAGCGCAAAATCATTATCAATAATGTTTTTGTTACGTAACAGCACGTCGTCCATCACAAAGTCGGTATTAACATTATCAGTGATTTATGATCCTCTATTAAGAAAGACGCCTGTCGGTGTTTACGGCAACTGTTTTCTTTACGGTGCTTCAAGTTGGGGATGCAACCCTTGCAGGCCTTAGTAGTGTTAAAACACTACGTTAACTTTGATGATTTTTCTCTTAGACGTGTATTTTTAGAACCAGATTATCTGCTTTATTAATCTTCTTCAAATAAATACTTTGTTTCTTTTACCCGTCTTAAATCCTAGATGTTATTTCAAATAAGCACACTGTGTTAAAATTCTGTAACAGTTAACACACTGTACACGTTATTGTGGGTAAATTGAACTGAGATTTTGGATCGGTCTTTTCGTGGGCACCGGCATGGAATTATTTTGAAACTTCAGTCTATTCCTTTCGACTTGCCTCAAAGTAAATAGTTTGGTAGTATCCGAATCATATAATACGTGTTGATAATTTGGGCTGTTATTACTTAGTGTAAAATGTCAGTGTTTAATGCTTTAATATTTGTAGATTTATGTACTTGCAACTGCTGTATTTATTCGTAATCATAAGTTGGATGTTTGAATATGTTTAAAGCATTCTAGAGCAAATTTCGTACTGCTCATATGAGTTCTTCAAATATGTCATTAGACTCATTACCTGAATGTTATCAACCTATCTCGTGATTTCTTCCCTCTAATGGTATTTTACTTAATTAAGTTTTTTGACAAAAGTTTTATCCGTTCAGCGGAGTTTGAATCACTTGATGAACAATTGGAAGAAGCCAACTAAAGCCTCGAGTAATAGAATTCCTCGTGTCAGAAATAAGAGACATTAATAAGAAAATGATTTAACTAATTTTCGAATCCTTCCCCTTCGAACACATTCCGTGCATCTCATTTCTCCCAAAAAGCATGGGCATACTTGGGCAAAGTTATGTGAACTTGTATTGTTAGCCTCTTCTAAAGAAGGCCGGAAATTTCATCAAAGCCCCCATCCCTTTATGAGGCTTTAACAAGAACGTCTATACATCAGTTTAATAGAAATCAGCTTTGGAAATAGCGCAAACGCCACCTTCACCGGCCACTCTAATGAAAGGCTCGGTAAACGCAAAAGAGTAATCCACAACCGCATTGTTGCCCGACTTCGTCCTGCAGCGCTGCTTCTCCGCAGCTTATGCGGGCGCCCACCCACGTTCACCACAACAGCGGCCCGCACTGTCTCCTCCCCGGAATAAGGAGACCTCTAATCTCGAATCCACTCTCATCCCGGTCCGCTCTCCGTTGTGCGGGAACCGACAAAAAAAATCCCTACTTTCCCGGATGGAGAATTCGATCACGATGTTCTTCTGTCAACTCGCCGCGCAACGCCCTTTCCTCTCGCAGCCCCTTTCGAACGCCCCGCTCCCGTCCTCGCGCCCCCCCCCC